AACCAATCTGGACCTGGGTCACATTTTTCATCAAGTCCTGTCTGTGCTGGACTGGACTGCTTACAGTGCTTAAAGTACCAGTTGTGGAAACTCGCGCTGTACTTTATCTGTGGATTACGTTCAGTTTATGCATAACGTCCGTTTAAATTATTCAACTTGAGCAAAGCGAATGCATTAATATTTACTATTTATTCTTGAATACTGTAAATATTGATAAACACAAAATGTTAAGATGAATAATTTAGCATCACTTTAAGTTCACACATTCACCTACAAACTTCAAACTTTTTTCTTCATTTCACTTGACCTTTGGTAGAGGGTACGACAGCTTGTTCATCTTAGAACACTTTTACTGCATTTTCAGCCTCAACCTGTGAAGTACATGGTTTTAGTTAAATGATTTATCCAAACTGGTGTGTTCATCCTGGTGTATATGAGAAGGTGGAAACCACACATTTGGACAGATTTCTGAGGACAGCACCAGCAGAGCACTGTGAAGGACAACAATCAGTTAAACCACTCAGACTTGCATTCACACTCCTCTTATTCATTTTGCCTTTGGCGGGCTGTTACAGGGCTCCTTGACCGGCTGTTGACGTCGACTGCACAGAGCACCAGTGTTGCCAGATGCCACTTCATTTAACACAGAGATAAAATTCCAATTTGTTTGTGCAATTAACAGAAATCCCTGCATCCTTCACGTCATTAATATTCACTGATATAATAAACCTCGCGGAGCAGAGGAACAAAAAGTCATACTCAACTTCCGGCTTTGGCTCATAGATTTGCTATTAAGGTTAGTCATTTCAGTTTGAATTTCTGAGAATTTGGTCAAGATCTCAGAGATGCAGCTGTGTTTTTCAGCTTTAACATCAAGCCTGTGTGCTGTTCGGAGGGAAGGAGTTTCCCAACTGCCAAGAAGACACTAATTTAAGTCTAAGACTTCCGCTGTAGAAAGGCATCCTAAACACACTGCAACAGTCAATCAAATGCTTTCACTCTTTGCTTCTAAGTCTCCGACTGTGACTGGGTTGTTTTCTGCTCTGTTTGGCGAGGCTGTGTGCACCTGTGTTCACGCTCCGGCGTGGGAACAAACTTCCTTTACTTAATTGTATTTTGCAAACAGAAAAATAACTCAATAGCTCAAGATAAAACCCAGAGAGAGAGATAAATGTCGGTAGATGGATCCTTTTTGGAGAACCATACAGTGACACATTAGGCTGAATCCCGTGTTATCCCTGATTCCTTGGGCTTTTTAAAATAGAGGCTTGTATAGAATTTGTTTAAAGTCATTATGAAATATGACTGCTCTGCTCAGTAAGGCTGCTGTGGTGTTCCACAAAGACATTTTTCAATAGTATGTGTAAGGAAGACCATCCTGTTCATGTTCACCAAACTTTTTGGCCGTCATTATGGCTCACAAGCACTTTCTGTTCTCAGTGGTGCTGGTGTTAAAATCAGAGGTTCCCACAGCAGTAGTCTGCACTGTGACTTGAGCTTGGAGTTTTTACATCAGATGCCATTCCTGACGCAACTCGACTCGGAATTTTGAGCACTAAGTGTTATCGAACCAAAACCTTCTGGTTTTTGTGCAGGTCTAGACCTTCACAGTTGTAGTTTTTGTTAAAAAAAATGACTGAATTGATTTCCTTTGCATCAGCACCCTGACGTCTGTTAAAAACCCTGTTGTTGTGTTCAGTTGTCCATCAGTCATTGTTACGTGCAAGTTTGCACCAGAGTAGGACATGAAATACCCAGTATCTTTTCTGACAGATATTTTTATTTTAGACATAAAAAATGCTCAACAAATTTCTGCTTGAGTGTGAGTGAAAATAAAAAAGAGCTGCCATTGATAAAAGAGTAACTTTATTGGTATTTTCCACCACTGTGGTTTGGTGATGTGGATCAATTTAAGTGTGACGTGGCCGTGCCATGCTGTGACTGATGTAACACTCCGCTGACCCTCGAGACAGTCTGTCTGAGAGGCTCTTATCACGGCTGACACAAAGCTCAGGAAATAAAAAGCTACTCTAAGATGTTTGGAAGGCTCTTTTGTGTCATTTGAACAAAAACTGAACACATGGGACTACTACACATGCCCTCACAAACACACAAACAAATTGATAGATTTTTGAGCTGTGGTTTTCTCTTGACTCAATATCTTTTCCTTTGCTTTTTTTTTTTCTTTCTTTTAAGAAAATCAGTCAAAGACACAGAAAAGCAGCCAGAGTAATGACGTTAGTTCAGGTCTGCCACTGAGTCAGAACATGAATTCGAGCTTCACCTAAAAAGTCTTTAAATTTGACAAATTGATTTTAATAAATGACACGCTGATATTTCTATTCTCGTCCCTAACACCTTGTTCCAGCTCAGTCTTCTTCATTCCTTATCTATGTAGGTCAGTGTTACTTACTTGAGCTGTAGGGTTGCCTCAGAAGTTACCCGATCTTTTACAGTGAAGATGTGGGAAATAATACACTTCTGCAGGTGTAATCTGAGTGGAGCGCTCCCTGCAGCTTGTTACCAGTAACCCTGTACGGCTGCAGGATGCGGAGATGAAATGACGACCGCAGACGGAGGACTCACAGAACTTACCCTTCCTGCTTTCCTTCCGTTTCCAGCCAGAGAATGAAGCTGCCTCTTTGAATGGATTGTTAGTTCATATTCAAACCAGCATGCCGACGGCAAAGTTGTTGTATGAAAAGTTCTACATGTAAATAATCTACTTAATGTTGCATGACGTGATAGGAGATTATTCAGTGGAAAACTGCTGAATATCTCACAGCAGCTTTACCCCCTGCTGTGGTGCACTGTGCGTTTCAACCAGGACCAGATAATATATTTGCATGAGAACGCTTAGATCTGCATTTTTTTCTTATACTTTTTTGCTAATTTTTTATAAAATATACAGTACATATATTTAATGCATGCCCAAAGTAACATACCTGGAAGATATTTTTTTAACTGGTGTTTGCAAGATGCTAATGTGAGTAATGTGTCATACAGTACCATACACCAGATAGATAGATAGATAGATAGATATAAGATATACTGTATATGGCCCAATAGATGACAGTTTGAAAACCTCCACAGATGTTTTTCCCAAACTGGATAAAGAAAAATCTGCTATAAAAAAAAAAATAAAGCAATTTCTTTGAATAGACAAAATTCACAAAACACATTTGTCTCAATGGACTTTACTTTAAAATTATAATTAAAATTAATATATTATAACAAGGGAAGAAATTGAGGCCTGTTATTGCTATTTACAGTCAATGATTATTGTGAGTTTTATTGAGAGTAAAGCAGCATAGGTATAATTTATTATTGAAAACCAAGTAAAATAGATAGATAGATAGACAGATAGATAGTATACTGTATATATAATTTACCTAAGAGCCATCACTGTTCTTTATTACTAATGGCCCTGATAACAGATGCTGCAGGATAAGCTGTAATAAGTCATGATCTTTCCTGGACCCATTTTGAAAATCTGTATTGGAGCCTTTCCAAACTCAGCAGTGAATATGTCGGTGACCACTTCTGTTCTTCTTAAACCTCAGTGTTCCTTTTTTTTAAAATCACAGTAGAAAAACAAGTTATGACCACTTCACTAAACGTCCCCCTACTCCAGTCTCCAGTGTAGACTGTATGCTATTTTAAGATCCTATTTTTCTGTATTGTGTTATAACAATATCCGGCTCATAAGTCTCTAGAGAAAAGTGTGGCTCTTAAGCAAATCGAAGCACAGAAGCCACTGTCCTGCCGGACACCGTCATCCAATTAGAGCATTACATTTAACGATAGACGAATAAAGGATGAACAATTCCTAAGTGCCCAAATTCACTGCTTTGCTTTTCTGCTTTGACGTAATACATGGAAGTAAGTGATTTAAGGGGACATGTGCTTTTCTAAGGGACTATCTGACATTTCCCTTGTGAAAATCTATCTATTTACTGACCATAAATTGGGCGTAAATGAGTGCAGTGCAGAATAAAGACAGAATAAACGTTAAACAATGTTGAATAAATGACATAAAATGTCCTCCTGCTTCTTTGTGACGGATGTCTCCATTTCCACTGATGCTCCGGAGAACATTAGTCACTCTTGTACGACGGGGTCAGTCTTTATCTAATTACAGGCTGCAGGAAACCGGATCTGCCGAGTGTTAACACATACAGTACATGCACACACACAGGGACCCGTGCATGCATCCTCACGCTTGAACTGCAGTTGACACACACATCCTCACACAGTGGCCGTGTCATGTTGGGTCACTGTGGTGCAAGTGCATGGTGTGCTATTCCCATGTGTGTGTCATGGGAATAGCTCTGCAGGGCAGGGTTTTCCCTAATTACTGTTTACACAGTAGGTGCCACACATTATCTTAATGGTTCTGCTCAGTTCACAGGGCAGTCATTAGGGCTCTCTTTTAAACAATATGTGTGTGTTTTTCTATATTAATGTAATTGTTTAATTGTGTTTATTTATTTAATTATTGTTTAATGTTAATGTTTTTCCCACGTGAAAGGCTGGGGTTGTATTTTAGCACTGAACCACAACCTCAGCCAATTAAATAAGTGTTATTTTCTGAAAGAAATGTTACAAACTTCCTTGATCTTTTGGACAAAAAAAAGTCCCTAACTCATAACTGGGTTTTAACCAAATGCTGTTGAATATTAGAGATTACAAATTTCTTTTTCTTCAACCCAATGAAATTAAAACTAGTAATGTTCAATCTAATCTTATTTTTAATTGTATGACTTTAAAATATTAAAAATAATTTAAACAGACTTCCTGTAGAGAAACTAACAAACTAAACGGCAGCAGAACGGCGGCTCCTATTTGGTAAAATCCATATGGTCTCAATAATAACAAGTATATTTGGTAAAGGACATAATCACAGAAGTCAAACATGAAGGTGAACATATTATACTGTTGGGTTTTCATGTGATTATTGTTTGGAACTAATGTTTGACCAGAACAGCTACACCGTGTTTGTCCCTGGACTTGACAGGCCTTTTCATCAGTCAAGATCAGAAATTCAGAAAAAATGTCTTTTGTTTTGTTTTTAGTTGCTTCCGCTGTCCAAACTCTGATGGATCTTTGGAGACATCCTCATTTTTTTGGTAACTTTTCTGATCGGACGCACATTGATGGAGCTGAACAATCCGACTGTTAATCAGAGGTTTCTGATCAGTAGTCACAGGTTTAGCCCCTATTACAAGCTGCCCTAAATCTTTGATAAAGGCCAATCCAGAAACCCACATGGGCTTAATGATCGTGTACCCTTGAGAAAAGGTGTGAAAAACCTCCCTTGACGTGACGGAGCAGTTGTTCAATAAACCCAGTCCAATACTGGAAATAGGCTTTTGATTGAGCACATAATTCAGCCGGCCAGCCAAACATTGGTAGCTGATGAGAAATGTAATTTAAATGCATTGATTGATGAGAAGAGGAGCGGACCACCTGACAGGTCAATTTATTTATGTCAACAATGAAACACTGATCAAATTAAAAGAGATAAATATAAGTATAACGAACTGAATTCAAAGACCCTTGGGAAGATTAAGTGGAATAGTGACGAGGCATTTGAAGGTTAATAAGTTCCTGAGGAAATTAACCAGGGCTGGCTCTATGACCATCAAATTATCTACAAATCATTACTTATATGAATATGGAAAATCTTATTTTGTCGGCATGATAATGATGTTACTGAGACACTCACTGTGATCAAATCGTTCAGATTTTTTTAAAGAAAAATTTGATACATTTTGACATGCAGATTTACTGACGTCTTTGATGGCTAGACTATCAAAGATGTCATTAAATCTGCCAATGTTTTTTTTTCAATTGCTTTGATGTCTACAGATCCAAAAATTGGGTCTGTAGACATCAACATCCTTTTCCTGTTAAAATAATTATATTTTAAATATATTAAAGAATTGTCGTTGTGAACCATATATGCATAGAGATATATAGAGTAGATTTACATACTCTAATTAATATATATACAGTATATATATACTTATTAATGTTAGAAGTGAAAGCATAAATACACTTGTTTTTATATTTGTAAAAGTGCAGCGTCCTTCCTGTGTGTCTGTGTGTGTCCTGCCTGGCTGAGCCTGGTTGACCTACTTGCCTTTCAACCACTGCCTGAATACCTGCTGTTCATCATCCTGATTGTCACCACTCACTCCTGCAGTATTTATCCTTCTTCCACTCACCTCTCACTTCCGTAGCTCCCTGGTGTAATGTCACAGCTAATTGTTACCTGTTGTCTTTCCATCATAGTGATTTATTTAAGTCCTTATTTTTATTTATTTAAGTTTGTTGGCCTGAGAACACACACGGCTATCTCTGTCTCAATATTATTTATTTATAAAAATAATAATAATTGAACCACCAAAGTTGTGATACTGTACATGACGGTTCACTACCTGCTCCTAAAAATACACTGATACACCTTAACGAATTGTAATGAGAATTGCTGCTCAGTTACCGTAACTTTTAGTATCTATTGTATTTAAAAAACATATAACTCCATACTGCATTAATCATTTGTGAAGATTAATCAGGTTAGAATTTTGAAGAAATTTCAGCAACTAATTTAATTAGTTCCACCGTCAATCCACTTACGGCTGCTCTGATACACCGTTAATTTATTATCTATAAACCATTACGTGAATAACTTTATGTTTAAAAAGCACCTGGAGTGACAAATAACTCAAATATATATACGTATATATTTAATCCATATAAGGCGCTGTATTTAATTCAACAATGTGTCACATTAGAATAAATAAATACGTGTAGTCATTTCCCTGATGGTCATGTTCTGGAGGTTTTTAATGGGTCAGTATTACTTTTCTGTTGAATCTACATTTATTTAGTTAAAAATAATCTTTCAAAAACAAAAATTGCCCATCAGCAGTTATTCCCTCGACAATTCCACGTCTAAAAACTGCCCTCAGGCAGAAGGCACCATCTCCCTGGGGTTAGAACTAAAGTCACAAAGCCTGTTCTGTATCATGCAATTGAGTAAAACACTGTTTATTATTTAATGTTCTGGCATTTTTAAACTTTTATTATTGCTGTCATTTTGTAAGGTTTACAGGTGCATGTTCCATGTTTTGTTGTCACATTTTATGTTTACAGGTGCGTGTTCCATGTTTTGTTGTCACATTTTATGACCTTTTAAAGGTTTTATGTTGTGTTACATAAGCCACATATTGTGGGAACAAAACTCAATATCTCAGCAAACATTTTGCTACATTTACATAGTATTTTCTTCCATAGAAATAAAGCTGTCCGCACAATAATTTGCAGTGCATTTAAATATCCGAAATAAAAGTGCTAATTAACTCCCACGTTTACAGGAGGAAACAAAGGCTTTGAAAACTCCAACCATGAATATAGGCTAGGACAGGATGAATGCTCAGTGTTTCTTTAAAATAAAAATAGAAATATTTTCTCTATAATTAAGCACAAACTAAAAGAAAGAAATGCATTAATTTTTTGTTGTACTGTAATATTTTTGATTCATACATCTCCAACTGCATACTCCAAGAAGGATTTGTATTCATTGGGTTTGGTTCAACCTGGGGTATAGGTCACGGGGGGGTCACACTCGCTTTACTCTGCATCACAGTGTGATGCCTGCTCCTGAGAGACGCCTTTGACTCTTAAAGCTGATAAACCTTTTACAATGTTTTCTTTTCTAATATCACTGAAAGCAAACACTTTCTGATGCCACACAATAAGGCAGGGGGGATTTAACCACAACCAAAGGTTGCAGACTGAAAAGTCCAATCACTGAGCCTTCACAGAGGATACATCTTACAGACCTTGACATCCAGCAGATGTCACTGGCTTCAAAACGTCATCACAGCGAGGGTTCTCAAAGACCATTTCCCTCCAACCCTCACTCAGAAATATTATAATATATATATTATATTATATAGCTAAGCTAGCCCCATCTCCAGCCACCTAAAAAAAATAATATATACTTTTTAATTACATTTACAGTTTATGTTGACTGATTTTTACTGATCAAATTTATCGAATAACTGATGTAAAGAATTGTAGCCTGGTTCCTAGTAAACCTCTTGCTGGCTCACTATATGTATTAAGAATAAAATACATAAATATTAGATGCGTCTGGTTACCTGACCTTAAACCAGCGGCAGGTGACTTGTTGATTTGCTGTTTTACTGAATTCCATCTCACTTATTTCTCAAACACACACACATGAAAATCCACTGCTGTGTCAGTTGACAGTACTTGCAACATGACTCCTCGGTTTCAAGAGGCAACAAAGAGCAAATCTCTACCCACCTTTCTGCCACTGATAAACCACAGTTGACTCCCTGTGTTGCCACAGGTCAGTACTCCCTGAGACAGCGCGGAAAACTGGATTTAGTTACAGTCTCCTCTCTTCTCCTCTCCTCTCCTCTCCTCTTTACTCCTCACCTGTCCTCTCCTCTCAGGACAGCACTCTGTTTTTTCTGACGCAGGAATATCTACGACCTGCCCAGAACAGTTTCACCTGCTCTGTCTCTAGATAAAGGAGCTGGACAAAATAATAGCGTATACAGTGTCTCTGTACAATAGCTGATTGCGACATCATGAGTGTTTGACGTTGAATTGAGATAACTATCTACAAAACGCCTTCCACAACACTGAAGGAATTAGACCACAAACAAATGTCTCCTTGGCTTTAAGACTGTGGATTTGGCTGATGGCCAAGAACAACGTGATTGCTCTCAGGAATTGTGTCGTTTGTCTGACAATTAAAATCCAATGGTATTAATTGCATCATTATGAGCACGACCAGGGGTAACAGGATTTATTGTGATTGCCAGCCTGTGCATTCAACACAGCACAATCCACCGGGAAGACAACTGAGCCACAAAAGACGTCACTAGCAGTGGTCTCGTGGGATTAAATGACAATCAACAGCAGGAGAACGTCTCCGATTATAATTACAGACTAATAGACTTACAGACTAATTAGCCTTCGTGGGATCTAAACAATCAGTATATCAATTAGGTTTGTTGGAAAAGATAAACTTATACTGTACAGTAGGTATCTTGAATCAGCCGCCATTGCTTTAATTGAGTATTGCAGTGATTCATTTGCCGGTCCAATTCCAACATCTTCAACTGCATTATTGCCAAGAGTCAATGGGCAGCAATAATAGAACCAAGGAGACTAACTGCTAACACTACTAACATTTAGTTTCCTTAGTTCCTAAACAGTGTAGGTGTAGTGTAGCTAAAATAGATTTGACCCAGTGTTTGCACTTCTTGAAAGTATCCCATGTGACTTGCTCAGTGTCAGGTCTCTGCCGTACTTCAATTCAAATTGATGTGTCAAGTGTATTTTGAATACTCCTTAACAAGGCTGGAGATGAGAGCTCTTCAAACAACTCTGTCTGCAGCAGCTAATGTGCAGTTATGACATAAGTGCTCTGCTGACAACCAGCCGGTTTCTGTCAAGGGCTATAAAGCAGAGCGTAACATATTTATGACATATTTAATTACAGAAAAATTATTGAATAAATACATTATTATTATTATTATTGTTTCTTGAATTTTGCACTTCATGTAGAAATATATTCATGTTCTTAAGTGTGTAACACAGGGGCCAGTTGTCATTTGAGGATAATGATATTTCTTGTTCGCCCTGCCTTAAGCTCTTGTTCTGGCAACTCCCAGCCTGCGCGGTGTGCTTCATCAATTGCTAATTGAAAAAGCAGTTGCTTACTGAACAGGCTGATGTGGACCTCTGTCATTCTCCACAGTCTTTTGTTTGTCATTTCTCTTTGGCTCTCACGTTCTAACGTATTCGTGTGTAGAAGGGCTCAAACTGTTGTTAATTACTGTACGTGGGCGATACGCCAAGTTCCTGCTGCTTCAAACAGGGCTAAATAAACTTTCACCCAACTGTATTAACAATAGATGAAGGCTTCCTTTTTTTTTCTTCTTCCTCTTCTTCATTGTAGTGAAACATTGACCTTGACACACATTACACATTGTCTTGTAGACTGTATATTTTGGTTTGAGTGGCGTACTTCGCATATTTTATCTGAACAATACGCCTGAGGGGAATTGTAGATGAACGCATGCAAAGCATGGCGTGACATCTAGTAGTACAACAGCCGGCAGCGCTTTTGTATGCATCAATAAACAACCTAAAAAAGAAAAAAGTGCATACAACTGCTACGCCTGCCTGAGTGTTCATGGATGTTAATCTAAATGGGAAATGTTGCCGTCCCACAGGATTTCAGAGCTGTCCAGTCATGATATGAACACAGATGCGTTGGAGTTTTCCTTCATGCGTGCTCTAAACACATTCTTGTTCTAGTGTAACAGTGTAAAACAAGGTTAAAAATGGTGTCTGTTTGCTACAGAATTTGTTTGTTTTGCTCTTAATCCTGTCCATTAGACCATTAACCTGTGCCTGAAACAGAACACATGTTGCCAGAGAATTACCGCTTATGGCTTAGGCTAGACCTCAGTGACTCACCCTGTAAGCTGTGATAGAATTTCCCCATGCAGCTGTTGAGACAAAAGCCTAAAAACAAAGACATAAGAGCCAGCCAAAAAAATATCCGGTAATTCATGTTGCCTTCTACACTGGCAGTTTGAAAATTGTTCCCAGAAAACCCGCAGATTCAATAAGTGCCCAGAATCTGCTGCTCCATTTTGAGGAATGCTTTCATACATACTACCTACTACCATGATGCAATTCATCGGAGCTGTCTTATTAAATAAAGTATAAAAACACTAGTGTAACAAAAGAGAAGAATGACCAACACGTTCAAGCAATAATATATTGATAGCTGTGTCTTTAATGGCACTAATTATTGTTGTCTTTGTACGTCCTTTGTTTCTGATTATACAGAAATGTATTATTATTAAAGTAAAAAAACTGTCATGGTTTGACAGTTATTCTCACAGGTATCTCTATATACTTAATCATGTAGATGGAAAGTCAGTACAGAACCAATAAGTGTAATATATTTTTCTCATCAATATAGTTCAAGTAAAGTTGATTATACAGTATTTTAATAATAAAATTATTAATTTATTTTATATGCAGTTGCAATAATCCTCACAGTGGCGAAAATATTTCATCAGCAGTCGCAGCCCTCTAGTTACGAGCTAGATTCATACCAGTGGCCTTTTAATGTTCTGTTCGTCTGCGTCAACGTTTCACTGGTGGCAGAAAAGCTTAGATTTTATTTTATTGTGTTCTGTTTCCAGCCTGATCCTTCTTCTGCCCATTAATATCAAATCACCTTTTGTTGATGCCTCACAGTATTGTGTTTACGGCTTTTGGATTTGATTTTGAAAAGAGAAGCGTTCTTCAGTAATCCCTCTGAAGCAGGCAACGGTATGGAGGTTTAGTAATACTGTATTTATGAGCAAAATGGTCAAATAAAAGGATAAAAAAGTGCTTTAAATATGAGATGGAAGATGAAACTATAGTTGTTACTGTTTATTTCTCTGCAGTGTCACAAGGGAGCTTGGCTAACCCAGGGGTCAAAGGGCAGATTTAAATCTAAACAGTGTTCAGTCTGTTGCAGAATATTTAATTTTGTCAGACCTAAAATACATGCTTAATAAATATAAACATTAAACTGTGGCTGCATTGGCATTTTGACTATTTGTGTTTTGGCTTCTTAAAGACGTATAGTTAAGTCATTGTAATTGGACAGGGGATTTAAAAGTTCCCGGTGAGTCTGTCTGCAGCTTAGATCTGTCCGAGGAAGTGACAAATCAAAAGAGTTCACAGTTTATTCAGCAAGAATGAGCAAAATCTATAGTACTTTAAATGCTTTATAGTGTAATATTTTCTGTTGAACTGCGTTAAACCTTCTATGACTATGTTATAGGATTACAAGATGTTTTACTATTGACATTTAGATTAATCACAAGGTCGCTGTGGATTAATCACAATTAATTGTTATCTTAATGAATTACAATTACCCATGGTAAATGTGATCTCTTGTACTGACTATATATCAGAGCAGAAATAAGTGGATGGATGGTGTAATTGTTGAATGTACACAAGGGTTAAAATCTCTTTAATCTAATCGGTTGATTCTCATCAGCTCTAAACTCAGCCACAATTTTAGTCTAATATTAAAAAAAGTTTTTTTCAATATATTGCCCATAGTTATTGTATATATTTAGGTGACATTTGTCCCAATACATCAGCATATAAAAATATAAGGGACATGACCCTGTCATTTGAAATCTATTTCCCTGCAGAGCAGCAGCCCACAGTCCCTGTTCGACAGATGACAGGGAGGAGCGTGCATCAGGAAGTGCTGAGTCACTGCACACCAGATCCCTTGGTGATTGATTTACAACCAGTGGAAGTGTTAACAGTGGTGACCTGCTCACCCAAAGCTCTCTGTGCTTGAAGGTATCCAGGCGCATGATTGTTTTCTCCCAGGTTGCATTGTTAGGCTTGATGCCTCATCTGAAAATGTAAATAATTCCATGCTTCCTTAAAACTCTTATCTCTTGCCTCATCGCCTTTCCTCACTACAGCAGCCTCTGCAACTTTTTGCTGCTAAGATAAGTTTGGAAAAATTCAAGCTCTGATAATAAGTTACATGTTTATATTTGGGACATTTGCGATTTGTTGACCTTTAGTAATTTCAAAAACAGTTCAAAAACATTGATATAAAGTATTAGGGGCTATTATCCCTATTATTTTCAGGTCTACAGAAAGGCCTACAGGGTGTGTTTTTATTTTCAGTATTTGCTTCAGACTACTTCCAAAGCTCTAATAAGTGCCCTTTAAAATGTTTTACATTTGAGCCTCACTTCCTGTGGAGCTTATCCCCTGAGATGATACCAAAACCTCGCTGTATCCTAAGCCAGTCAAGAACTAACAAAGTCCAGTGACTTGTTTTTTTCCAGTGAGCTCAGGTATTTTTGGCATTTGCAGAGGGCTTAGGATCACCGCTGTGCTGAAAGATGAATCTGTTGAGCAAAGGTGTTTCTCAGAGGCCAGTGTGTGGTAATTAGTTTGTGACCAGAACTCACTCCATGTTCCATCAGTTTTTAACAAAACATGGCTTCAAACAGAACCTTTAGATTTATTTATTTTTTGTTACTTTTGAGATGACCAGGATAAATGATTTACCTATGTTGAAAACACTACATATATATTCACTCATATAAACATTACATGTTGGGCTACTTTGAATAAACGTTTGTAGCCATTTGGCACAATATATGTCAATATGTTTATGATATAAAATGATTAGTGTCTAAAATAGAATTACATCTTTATTTGCTATATTACTACCACTGCTTTACTCTCTTCCAAACTGATCTATACTTTTCTGGTGCCAATATAAGGTATATACTTTTCTATGGTATATTGTATGTCATTTAGTGGGGTAAAAGTTGATATTGTACGGAAAAGGCAGAAGTATAATAATAATATAAATAAATATTATATAATTTGTACAACTTTGGACTGCCAGATTAAAAAGCCCAATGGTAGTTTGCCCATGCCTGCACTAGATGATAGCAATTAATTGAATAATGAGTAACAGTGCATTGAGCTTAACAAACTAAATAAAAAACGTTCCTAAAGGAAGTCACTTAGGAGGCTCCACACATGAGGGGCTGCTCTGAATTTTGAAAACTGAAAACTCTATGTATGTTTTTTGTTTTCATAGATCAATACAAATGACCTTCATGTGGAACCACCTGGATTTGACGTACACAGGAAAACGATGTCCATTTCATGTCAACATCCTATGAATGACTGAACACATATGGCGGATCTTCAAGGCCAATTTAAAATGTAAGATCTCTGTTTATCAGGACAGTTATCCTGCGTGTAACTTCATGTCTGCCTGAGGAGTGTGTTTTCCATCTTGCATTTTAATTTTCTTCATTAACGGAAACCTGGCGCACCAAAAGTGATTTCTAATAATTGTGCTGTTGCATGCTCTATGAATCCCTAACTACCTTAGGGACGAGAAGAGAATAACTGAATAACTGAAAGGGTAACTATGATAAGAAAAGAAGGAGTTGGAAACTTGTTAGAAAATGTGTCTACTCTGTGTCCTAGACCAGCAGCAGAAAATGTTTCTTTACCTTAAAGCCAATGCATTTGGCTGTAGTAACAATCACGTGCACTGGTCCTGTGGTGTGACACTAGTCCCTCGCTCTCTCTCCATTCAAGCTCATTGAAAGTAATCCAGAAACACAGGCTGCGTCAGAGATAGGAGTTGTCTGCAACAGCAGTGTAGATAAAGAAGGAGTTTCAAAGAGAAGAATCTTCAAAGCTGAACTTTTTCTCTTTAAATATGAAACAATTGTTTCTGATTTTAATGTGAGTCTTCCTTTTAATGATTTCAACAAAGTCTTGAGAAAAGCAATTTGGGGAAAGGCATGGCATTGTGAGGATGAACTGTGATCATTAAAGTTGTGGCGTACTTGAATATTGAGTCACTGTGTGAAGAGAAACATGAAAAGACGAAAGGAGAAATGGAAGATGCCAACAGTGGTGAGGTTCAACCGAGGTCACAGATGATAAAACAGGTTCCAACTGCAGTGAGGAACTTTTGAACACGGTGGAAAATAAGTGTGAGTTTTGACTTTAGGAAGCATTTCCATTTGCATATTCAAATAGTCTGACAAGAGAAGTTATCCACACTGGTGACCCTGACAACCCTGAACTAAACCGCGAACCTTCTTTACGCAGATGAAACGTTTCTGTTTGTGAATAAAAGAACTCTAACACAGGCAGACAAGAGAGTCAGATTCAGTTTAAATTTTAAAGTTAAAGTTAAATCCTTAAAAGTAAGGACTGGTTCAGTTCAGAGCACCATGCTGGTCCAACACCATGATGCAATGTACGGAGTCCACTAAGGTCTGGAGCAATGTAAACAGGATAAAGTATCTCTAATACTGAACTAATAAACAGGATTTTTTTTCTTCCTACAATTAACTGAATTTACCATTCACATGAAATCATACACACTCTTTTTAAGAAAGTTTTTTTTTCATATACAGGGTTTTTTTTTTCGTCCACGACTTCCTCGACCAATGCCATTTTTAATGATAATTTATGGTCGTATATGTTTAAAATGTGCAATTAAATCTTAAGCCATTTAAGTTTATTTATCTGACTAGTGAAAACAATGTCTTTTTTGTCCTTTTGCCTGATGAGAACTTTCATATAATTATTATTCCTTTGAACAGAGTTTGTAATATGGCCCCAGGATGGGTTCAGATTTTTACATGTTGTCACTGAGTGTTCTGACAAATACAGAAACATGTCTGCATATGTGTGTTCTGGAAGAGTGGTTTTGATGAATGTGTCCTGACACTTGGTGTCACCCCCTAAAGCCTGCCCCCACTTCCTCTCCAACTTTCCTGTTATGGTTGATTATTGAGGTCAAACCTTCTCTCTGGTCTGTTCAGAAATAACACACCTTGACAACCCGGAAGGCTGCTCCACAGTTTTCAAGACATGATCACGAGATCTGCAACTATACTATTGCACCTGTGCAATCATATTAATTATGTAATGTTTGGAAAAATAAATATATAGCAAATGTTTGTGATCTTGGATTTAAACCCCATTTGGCAGAGTTGTGGACGGCAGGATGTGCCTGTCAGTCAACATTTTCAAAAATAGAAACACGGGGATATGACCATGCTGCTGTGTTCACCTCTCTATGCTGTGTACAGATATATCGTAGCCTCACCATCACAGCCCAATCATCAGAAGATCAGATCAGATTGTTTCCATTGTCAGTAGGTCGATGTTATAGTAGAATGTGTGTGTGTATGTGTGTGTGTGTGTGTGTATACATATAGAGTATTTTCAAAGAATTACAATGTTTAAACTGATTGATTAAAATGTAACTTTTGATTAATCACCAATTAATCATGATTAATCACGTACGTAACTAAGCATAATTGTTGAGGGTCAATCCAGATAAATCAATAGTCCCTTATATGACATTGGTACTGTTGTAAAAGCTCTGCTCACTTTCTGTTCAGCTGGCTGTGATAACTATGTAGAAAATGTATTTTTACTTCATGTCTTTTTTAATATTATTTTATTATTCATTAGATTCTCAGTTGTGTTGATGTATAGTCAGGAATAATGGCAGCGTTGAATTCTTTGCAGATGTTTAATGCAGTAATATTAGTTTCTTTTTGACCTGCAGTAGCAGAGTAGTCTTAATGAGAAGTAAATGAATCTAGCTGTGAGAATTATTCATGCTTGTTGTACTCACTGTGGTTTGGACACACTCACACACAGAAATGGACATAGCTAAATATTTTAAGAGCAAGTGAGTGTATTTTTAGTCATTTTTGAGAAACTTTTATTATCGGAGATTTGTTCAGGAACTTAGTGGTATAGTATTTTTACTGAGATCAAAAGTTGGCATTCCAAAAATGAATATTTCTTCTGAATTTTATCCACTAAAATGGACATATCTAAGTATTTAAGGCAAATTAGTGTATAACTTATCTAGTCATTTGTAGCATTCATCTTTTATTTTCGGAGATTTGTTCAG